CACAACAAAATGCGGAGAACTCAAAAAGGCTTGCAAATAAGAGATGAAAATATGTTGTTCTATAAAAATATCAGCTCGAAGTTTGAAAATGGCATCTGAGCGCCATCTTGAATTAATTGTTGATATAATTATTATTCCATTTTTAAAATCTTCTTCTAATTCTCAACAGTTTCTTCCGATATACTTTACTCCTAAATTCAATTATTTTCGACATATTATCGTATGAACAGTCATATTTTGGCTATTTCAAACCCAAACAGAAACCTAAATGTTGCTTTCAATCAAGTTTGCTTTGAAAAAAAAATCATCGTCGCCGTAACACCTTGATTTTTTCCAATACAAAGTTGATTGAAAGCAACTTTGAGTTTTTCGTTGGGTTTGAAATGACCAAAATGTCACTTCTCAAATAAATACATTAAGAGTACTATTCAATTCAGAAAAGAAGTATATTGGATGTTTCCTATATAATGTGAAAATGTTCAGTATTTCAAGATAACGCCAATGGTTTGGGCAAAACGAATTCATCCCCTTGACACATCGTCGAATGGACAAAGCGTCCAATGGACAAACACCAAGTTTTTGATCACGAAATATATTGTGGACACTTTGCCAAGAGTGGTCACAATGCCGAAAAAATTCATTGGACAAGTCACCAAATCAGGTCAAAACGTCGAAACAACTCTACAAGGTGCATCAGAGTTGGAGTGACAAAAGGCTAGAGGAGATTCTTTTTAACAATATATGATAAAAAGTTCATTAGAACATGGGTCCAAAAATACTCCGTTTCCAAGTTGAAAAAGAGTTTTTTTTTTAATATCTTGAAAACGCTTAAGCCGATTCGAATGAAATTTTCATGGATTTACACATTTATCCTGCACCTGCGCCTTTTTGGATTTTTTTGAATATTCAGATGAACCCATTGAAAATACAATATTTCTGTCTCTCGACTTTTTTTCGTATTTTGCTACGTTTTCGAGAAATACGGACAATACCGTACCTCGGCATATCTCTGAAACCAAGAAACCTTGTGTATGTTATGCCCCCGTTGAAACAGTACATTCTATTTTGACAATTTGATGAGACCTAATGAACATGTTCTCTGCCCATTATAGGGATTCCCTTTCAGGCGCTCCAAGAGATAAAGAATAGAAAAAAAATCGATAATCTGGGTATCTCCTGAGAGCTCTAGCTGGGTGGAATTACTTTATGAGTTTCCGTTATTTTTTTTCATTCATTAGAGCACATGAAAGAAAAAATTTACGACCGACTCCTATTGATATATCAGGCATACTGAGTTCCGCTTTTCTGAAAAAATACAGGCTTCACTTTTGGTGGCATTGAATTCAGCTAGGTTGTTGGTTCCCCAGGCAAGATCGTCTTGACAGCGTTGACCTGCGTCGTAAGTTCTTAGTGTCCTCGGAAGAAATGGGAATTCTAGAAGAGAACGAAGTATGGAGGGTAGTATCATACGAAGCTGTGGATAGGGCAAGTGGTTGCTCTCAACAGATCATTGATATGAAGTATTACTAATGTAGGTGCCAAAATTGATCCTTGTGGAACTCCGGAATTGATGGCAATGGTATCAGACGATAGTCATTTCACCACCGCATGGAGCGATCTGCCTGAAAGAAAAAGATGGCATAGCTGAGGCCTTCTATATATAAAACGCCACATCTAGATAGTCCCCAAGGATGATACAACTACTATTCCCCATGTTTTTCTAATGAAGCTCGCTATATATGGGTGACGAAGGCATGTAAATCTCCAGTTGATCGTCGGTGGCGAAAGCCATATTGTCTATTATTAATGATTCCCGAGCTTCCCAGATATTTGATGAGTTCAATGTTGATGGCTTTCTTCATCACTTTGATTGGACTTGAGCTATTTTCCAGCAAGATGGAAAGATACCGGACTTGTACAACATGGTGAATAACTTGCGGAGAATCGGTGCCAGTTCGGGTGTACATTTTTTGAGGATATTGGATGGAATCACATTGGGACTGTAAGCCTCATTCGATTTGGAGACCGAGCAGAATACGTCTGATAGTGCGTTGATGAAAGAGGATTTCGGGCATTCGACATTCAACGGGTGGAATGTCTGGCGGCACTCTCCTTGAGAATCCAAGGTGGAGTTTGCTGCGAACATCTGTGCAAATATGTTTGCTTTCTCTTGCAATGTTGTTTCTTATGTACAGTCGGCTCTGGAGAGTGATGGGAATTAACAATTAGGGAAATTCCTTCAGACTGCTTCAGCGAGAGACCGAAGCGAACGAAACCAATCTCATTTTGGCATTGTATAACTCTTTTGATGCATCTATTGTTTGGCTGCAGTTATTCCTGGCTTCAACATATTCTGCTCTGGTAATGACATTAGGGTTTTTGCGCCAGCGATGGTAGGCTGTTTGTTTCAAGGCAAGAGGTCTAGAACAGTTCTTGTTGAACCAGGGTTTCGAAGGTGATGAAATTTTCGGAGATGAGTCTATTCCAAGCGTGATGAACTCATAGATTCTCGCTTTACACTGTAAACGATCCTCATAATCAAAGCATATTCTATGACAAGGAAACTCGGAGAAAAACATGCGGAGACTGTCCCAGTCTCCTGAGTTATAATGCCATACAAGACGTAGGGAAATGAAAAATGGGCAGGTTGTGGAGATGAGTGTGTGAAGAGAATGGCCAAGTGGAGCTCGTACATCTATGGTGTAAGGTGCTGAATAATTAGTAAGGAATAAGTCAAGTGTATTGGCTGAATGATTATTGACATCGGAAATTCGTGTGGGTTCCCTGATAAGCTGCTCTAAGCCGTGAGTGATAACGAAAGCTTCAGCTTGTCGCCTAGCTTCATCCGTTTTGTTGAAGTGTACTGCATGGTTCTGCTGAATTAGGACAAGCTCCAAGGACAAGAACTCGAAGAGCTCTCCATATAGGATGGATCATTTGGGGATAAGTAGAGACAACTAAGATATTCGGTCTGTTTCTAGCTCTCGAGTTTGAACCAAATAACATCAAACTGTAACATATGGTTACAAAGCTTTTTATGATGATGAGTTAGTTTTATAATTTCATGTTCTCTTGTGATTGGAATTGTCATCACAAACATCGGGAAACTATATTAGGCAGGCATTATCTCAGTCTTATCACATTGAGTTACCTCTAAAAAGACCGAGTAACCAGTAAAAATGTGGCCCGGTTAGCTGTTTCGGCAATATGGCCAGTTTAGGCAATATGATCAGATATCTGATTCTTTTGGCAAATGATTCAGTATCGTGTTCATAACATTTTCGGCAATGTCTTCTGCATTTTGACTAAGAATTCGGCGTCATGTCTATTCGGCAATGTGTCCAGGGGTTTTAAGAGCAACAAACACAAGCGTGATGTCAGATGATGGAGTTCTCAAATGAAGATGGAAGAAAATTTTTAGGGTTGCCTTTACCTTTTTGATATCGATTTCAGAAAATTTGTCCAGTTATTGAGCTGCTTGAATATGTAATTTCAATAATCATTGGTTAAATTTTCCCGTTATGCTATTCGTTTGGCATATATGTCCAAAACATGTACATGTTCGCTTTTTCATGACATGAGACATGATTCATTGAACCATTGAAATATTGGATAGCAAATACTACATTTTTGCACAATAAATGAGATTGTATGCCTTTGAAATGATAGTAGTAGGGTATTCCGCCAATATTATGAACATAAAAATAGACAGCGCAGCTGAAAACGATAATTTTACATTGAATACATATACGATGTTATTGTTACTATACACGAATACAGGTTAAATAAGCATAATATAACTAATTATTCGGCCTATTAAGTTATTATTCGAGAGTACAGAACATGCCGCCAAAAATGATTATTTCAAGGACAATTTCTTACAGATCCCAAAAGCAAGAGATAGAGAGATAAGAATAGTTGAAGAATACGTGACGTCACAGTTATGACATAAAATATCATTTTATTTTTCCACATCATAGTCGTAGGTGTTCAGAAAAAAAGGATTTGGTCTGAACCTGAGTAGTAATATGAAATGATAACAGAAAACAATGTACCGATTGACTTTTGTAAATTTCAATATATACAGGTTGTTTCGAAAGATTGACGAGTCGTAGCCCTCCAGATTTTATAATCAAGGTGAGAATAAAGGGTTTTCAAGTGTTCAGTTCTCGGAGATACAGGATGTTGATGTTAATAAATAAAAATTGTACATTAGCAAAACCTCAAGATAGTTGAATACTTTGCTTTCCAAATCTATGAATTCTTTCATCTTTGAACAAATTTGACCAGAAAGTCATTCCGAACATTTTATCCAGTGCCATACAGGGGTTTGTGGTAATTTTTCCTCCCATACGCCACTGGTGAGATTCCGATTAATTTCAATTTTTCGAATATCACCTTAAACTGAGCTGAAGTGAACAGTTTTCGAAATATTCGATCCAAAAATAGAAGCTTGCATAGGCATTTTACAAAAATATTTTTCTGGTGGTGGAAAGATTAGATTATTCTTGATTCTCATTCTGTAGCTGAAGAAAAATAGTTATTTCATGCAACAAGCAAAAACATTGTTGTACTATTCTAACTGAAAATGATGAAACATTACTATATGAAAACTGCTATTTTGTTGTCAGCTGTTCATTTCAGCTCAGTAGGTCATGCGATTTTCCAACAAAATTGAACAGACTAAAATTTATCATCTTGAGTAGAATGAAAAGATCTACGAGGCCAATGGGTACATATTAATTTTTAATATCCAATGTTTTGTTGTTAATATTATCTATAGGAAGAATACAGGAATATGATAAAATAAACAAGCTGGATGAACAGCAAAATCCGTTTTCTTCTGAACATAACCATAGACAAAATAGCTAGAGCGTGAGAATATACAGTCCCAAAGGCGATTTCCATGGAGAATTATTCCATATAGAAATAGCATGTCTAAGAGAATATATTCTAATTTATAATACGTTACATAATACATTTCTCAAGAGAAAACTTACTGGAGTTTTGTTTAGGCACGTAGGGGGAAAGAAGTCTTGTCCTCTTCTTCTCATATCCTTTTTGTGTGATATCACCTGGAAAGACATCAAAAAGAAAATCAATATGAGTGAGTGCTGGCTTAGCTGGAACGAATTAAAAAAGTTTCTAAACAGTGGAACTTCCTATGTGAGACAATTTTATTATGGCAAGAAAGATTAGAGTAGAGCAATATGAAAAGTTCTGATTAGTTTCTTCCTTCATTGATAGTTAATGAATTTCATTTCCGCGAATTAAAAGTAAACACACCAATCTACAGAGTAGTCCAGAAAGGACCGTATAGTTTTTATTCACGAAAGCATTTTTTAAAATCATATTTCTTGATTCTTGAAATTGTGCTTCAGGCGGTCTATCCAATAGCAATGTGCGTTAAATAGGTATAGTATCCGCATGTATAATTAACGGAATTTGAAAATCAACGGAGATCAATTTGATACTTTTATTCTTTTATCATTATGAATTGATGAATTTGTATTGGTAACTGCATCTAAGAGATCTGATATATAATAATATAATACTAATACTTGGAATATGAGGGAATGTATGAGATCATTGAAATTCAGAAAAGGAAATTGTTATACGTTTCATAATAGTGATGATGAAGACACTGATTACTTGATATACAGAGTGGCCCACGGTCGATGGTACCTTAGACGTATCCGGAAAACGGTACATTGGATTATCCTGAAAATTTGGTTACTCTAATAAGCGTTTGTAATCTAACGATTCAAAATATTTTCAGCGAAGCAGCGTTACCACTTTTACCAAAAAATAGCATCATCTTTGTTATTTCAAATGGAACACCCTGTATTTCATTGCGATTTTAGATTCTTCTCGAAGAGCTGATTGCATCAATGTATCACACTTGGGGTCTAGCAGGAATTATTACAGAGATATAGGGTGTTCAAAATCGAGATTTTTCAATTTCAGGAATTTTTTGTGTCGAAACTATTCATTATCGATCAAAAAAGCTCACATGTCCCTATCTTAACTTCTGATTCACTATCTACTGATATTTAATTGGAACAGATACAGGGTGATCAAAATTCTGAATCTTGGACCATCCTGTATTTTTTCCAATTAAATGTCGGTAGATAGTTAATCAGAAGTTTATATAGGGACATGTGAGCCGTTTTGAGCAATGATGAATAGTTTCGACACAAAAAAATCCTAAAGTTGAAAAATCTCGGTTTTGAACACCTTATATCTCTGTAATAATTCCTGCTATACCCCAAGTGTGATACATTGATGAAATCAGCTCTTCAAGAAGAATCTAGAAACACAATAAAATACAGGGTGTTCTATTTGAAATAACAAAGATGATGCTACTTTTTGGTAGGAGTGCCAACGCTGCTTCGCTGAAAATATTTTGAATCGTTAGATCACAAACGCTTATTAGAGTAACCAAATTTTCAGGATAATCCAATGTACCGTTTTCCGTATACGTCTAAGGTACCATCGACCGTGAACCACCCTGTATAATTAGCTATATTACCCCACAGACAGATTCAAACAACTTATAGGCTCTATAACCCACGTGTGACTCATGAGATTTATCATTCACAACTCAGCATTCACGATAGGCCAAATATTTTGAAAAAAATTTAATACAAGATTTAAATATCAAATTGAATTTTATCAAAAAATACTGTCTGTAGGTTAGTCGAGGAGGTGGTATAAATAATAATCGTAATCTGATGGTTGGTCCTTATTACACGTATATTGAAATAATATTCATATTTTTATTTTATAGAAACGAGGAGAGAAAATCCCAAAAAATCTGGAATAATTTAATTTTATCATCAAATACGTTTTTTTTTTTCTCTTCCTCATCAAGAGATAGTTGATGAAAGCCTTATAAAAGTCTCCTGGAATATATAGTTCACTCAGAAGGAGAAAAAGAAATAAACTCAAAAAGTCGGTCGACCATAAAACTTAATATAAAACACTCATGTGTGTGACTAGTTTCCGAGCTAGTTTCGGCACATCCAACATATATCGATGATAAGAAGGCTAAAATGTATTCGAAGAAAAAAAAATAAAAAATCAATTGACATTTAAATCATAAGTCACATATATGTACAATAGCCTGTTAAAAATCACCACAATTTATGATATCATGCAACGATGATGGATAGATACCTTCCAAACAAATTGCAAATCAAAATTTTTGACCCACTCGTAGAAATATATCGAAGTGTTTCCGTAACAATGAGAAATAACTTAATAATTATAATGCAGGTAAATATAAATATGATGGCAACCGGCTGCTTCAACTTGAGATGATTCCGAGCATGTTGAAATGAAATCGAGAACAAAACAACTGAATTTCATTTTCGTGATATTTTGTTCAATTTCCGGCATAAATCAACACGAAACCGAAACTTTATCAGACTAAGTGAGAAGTTCGCAAATTATTTTCCACAAAATACTATATCTTATTCGTGAAATCTGAGAATAATATAACATAATATTTATGAAAGGGAGTTCGTTGTGGAAGTTCAGAATCAATTATCAACTTCAGAGGTTCGTTTACTGTTGATACACAGTATAATGATAAAGTTTGGAATGTACTGTTTCCCCTTCATGAAATGTATAACATAATATGGTGAGAAAATTTGTCTGTAGTATTGCAAACTTTATTTCAAGTGATCGATTGTGCATGATCGACGACAAAAAAAATCAAATTTGATAGATGTAAAGTGACATTTGTGTATTGGTACTTCGAAGTTGCTGGGAACCAAATACCCAGAAGTCCAAACTTCTGCATGCGGGGTTAGGGAGAGAGGGACCTATACAGCTTATAGTGGACTCTGAACATCTTCTAGGGCGCCGAGGTCATCTAATCACTAATATGGCGGAAAATATAGAAAATAATCATAAAGAGGAGATAAAGGTAATATTATATATACCGGGTGTCAACGAATCGATTAGACAAGACATAACTTCTAGAATATGAGATTTGTTAGATATACAGGGTGTCCCTGAATTGTATTCACAGAAACCTACCAGATATTCCTCTGATGAAAACATTTATTTTCATTACAGGCAAACTTATCTCAGTACAAAGTTGCTTAGTTTTGGACGCTACACGGCTTTGGAGTTACAATTTTCAAATCGTTTTTCCTTCATAACATTGTAGCGGATCCTGAAGTATTACTAAAATTTGATACGTTGGCATAGTTCCATTGGGCAATAAAACCCATATCATCATTATGATAAATAATTCCATGGGCGTAGAACTTGTTTTTCTTCAGTAAATAAACATCTAAAACTTCTACGCCAATGAAAAAAAAGGAGTTCGAATATGAAATTCGGATTGTGTAACTTTTTTACTGGAAAAGGTATTCCCGATGTTTGATTGCTCTCATGGTTTCGACAAAAGTTGAATTTTAGAAATTTAAAGCACAAGTTAACATTGAAACGATTACCTACAACCATGGTATACAAGTTATGGACACGTCGTCGTACAAAAAAATAAAAAAGTTACAAAAAAGAACAAGTGATAAAATCAATTAAAATTAAAATAGCACTAGTTGTCTAAAAGAGTCATTGATCAACTCAGTGAAATTTTGTAAATAATAATACGTATATAACATTGAAACGATCAACAGATATGTTATGAGAATTGTTCAAAATGTTGATCATTTCCAAGTATACGAAGATTTATACGACGAAAAAAATGGATAAACCTCAGTACATAGGATGGCTCTGTCTGGGCGCTTGACAGATCTGACTTACTCGGTAAAAAAAAGAACAAAACATAGCTGATGGCACATTTAAATTTTTTGTTGATCATTGCTTTGAATAACTAATGTTCAAATTATGTAGAAACCATGAGAGTATTCGAATTTTATCAAGAGTAAAACTAAATATACTTAGGTAATAGAATTGTTTGTTCACCAAGAGCTTTATTTTTCATGATGAGTATACAGGGTATTTCACAAGTGAATGAAAATATTCCAATGGTAGATAGGTGTCGCCAAGGTGGTTATGTAAATACCATATTTGATGGATCTTAGTCTTTATAGCGGAGATACAGGGTGATTAATCGATTTCGAATAAATATTCAATTGTCCATAAGTATAAAACTACTCAGTATCTTTTCCTCAAATTTGCTATGGAGCAGTTTTTTTTCTCCTCTTCACGATTCTTTTGATGAACTTTGTAATTATGCAATACAATGTGTTTTTTTTATTTCGAATAAATGTAATTTTTTCCTGAAGCCGAACCTGAACTTCCATTCCGCTCGATAGGTCCCAAGTATAAGGTCCATACCAAATTTGAGGAAAACCTACTGAATAGTTTGATACTAAGGGACTAGTGATAATTACTCAAAATCGACAAATCACCCTGTATCTCCGTTATAAAGACTGTGTATATGGTATCTTCAGAACCACACCTTGGCGATCCCTATCTGCCATTGAAATTTTTTTTTTACCTGTGAAACACCCTGTATATCAATAGATCCTATAGAAGGTAGAAAGAGCTTCCATTTTATCCGTGTTATTTAGACACACCCGTATAAAGATTTAAATTGTCCACTTGAGCTTCAAATTTCAAAATGAAAATTATCTCGACAGAACTCATTTCGTGTGATGTAATGTATTCTAGCACCAATTTTATCCAGATTATAAATACTAAAGAACTTTTGCAGACGTTAACCAAATTACCGAGATTTTTAATTAAAACTATAGCTCTCCAGGTAAAACGAAAATATTAAGAAAAATTCATGCAATCTATGTATAAACAATAACGATAAACTTCCTGTGAAAATACGATTTGCTATTAGGAAAGTTGAAAAAAATCAGATGATTAAGAATATTTCTGCGTCCATTTCAATTACTGAATGAAGATGTAAATAGAAAAGTCCAAGAAACTCCTTGAAAATTTAATGAGACTATACGGGGCGTTGCGTCAATGCGTACAATATATAAAAAGTATTTCGAGTTCAATCGGGTGTTTATAGTTCAGTGACGAAGAGAAAAATTGTTTCAATCACTCCGTGAATCTAATGAAATCTGAGTGTAAAATAAAT